ATAAAAATGTCCATGGGTGAATGGACAGGAAAAACTGGATTTTAATAGTCTGCCCTTTTAATTTCACTGGACACGCCCTGCGTTTTGGAGTACGATAAATCATGTCGACCCTACTTATTAATAGGCTAATTTTTTTTCTTCACAATTTATAACTCTTCTTTCTCAAACAAAAGATTAGCCATTCGAGATTCCGGGGACGTAATGGTAGCTTTTTAAGAAGGTATTCTCTCAAAAATGCTTATTCGCCTGCTTATTTCTGCCTTCTACCAATCAAAGTTAGTATTTGCGCCACTAGTAGTCTACAGGTAACTAACTAAAAAAAACAGATTATTTTCAACCACATAAAGTAGAAAGTGGTAATTCCTCTTTAGGCCTGACAAAAGGCTTGCATACCATATGTTCGTTCTACATTTCAAATATCGTTAGCGTAAAACCCCGTAGATTAGTCGCGACGGGCTGTCCCGTGCACGTCACGTGATGCAGTTAAATGGCCACTTTCTGCAAAGTTTTGATGGCGCGGACAGGCTGCATCTTTCGCATCTCCCTGTGGCGTGTATCACCGTTTCCTTTACTGTCTTTCGAAGAACAGATGTCGTTGCAGCGTCAGCCTTCGAACCAGGTGAACTGATACCAAGTTTAGAAGATAAAAAATGAACGATGACAGCTTTGAAAGATATAACAGGCACGAGCTTATCATTTATAAATCACCATCTGTTCAGTTATCTTGACAGATAGGCTCAGCGTCAGCCCCTCCGCTCTTACACAGGAATCCAGAAAAGGGGATTAAAATACGGATTTTGACTTGTACTGCCTTGTGCAATTTGTTGATTCTGTCATTGTGCTCCTAAACAGCCTCTCCTGAAAAAAGGCGTCAATCTACAGTCAGAAACGGCAATTTTATTCTGGTACATAGAGAGATTTGATAGAAAAGATTCTTTGGGAAATGTGAACGAACTGTATTGTAACTTTCCGACGCTGGCACACTAGGTCGTCGTCGGACATAAAGGGAAAAGTGCTAAGGACAGTGCACATTTTTTAAACAAGCCGAAAAAACGATAATGATTTGTCACCCTTGGTCAATAGCAGGTTTTTGTGGTTGGCGCTTTTTCCAGACTTTTTGGAGATTGATGTACATTCAAATCAAACTAACGTGCCTATTGATGTATGATTCGTTAGAGTTAATGGCTTCTAAAAGTTCGCAGCCTTTCCTATATGGGCAAGACGCTACTATGCGGCTTTCTTCCCATGCAAACTTGCGCTCAATTTCAGGCGAATGCATGGCGACTTTGGACAGTTGGTCGCGCTCCTTTACCGTTATTTGATGTTCTGAAAACAAGCTGCCATGTGCAAGTGAAAAAAACCTGTAATCTCAGTAAAAGCATACCAGCAGTTGCATAGGAATTTACATTGGATTGTGGTGCACGCTTCCGAGTTTGACGACGCTTGCCATTGCTTCAATTTATGTGCTTCCGTTCATGTCCCTGCGCACACACCATACATAGGCCAGCGGGGCTGAATCCGCACACAAAGTGTCGGCATTTTTTGCTGGTAGTTGGTACGGTCTGGGATCTTGCTGCGACCGCGGCTTTGGTTCGCCTCTGCCTTTCCGGGTCCAAATGCTAGGTATTACTGGCATGGGTATTGAATATGACTTGCCGGTGATGGAATAAGTAAACAAGTAATCACCAGTCCAGTCAGTTTCTCGCCTTCGTTTATTATTTGTCAATTGTATAAACAATGGCTGAAAGACTAATTTGGTCAGTGGCGTAAAACTACATGTCGCGACGTATTGCCGACAAAATAAAATAGATATTTCTGGATATTTTTAATCTATCGGACTCGGGCCTGCCAGTTTATAACCCCAACTCAGTTACTTATTGGTCCCTACTCTGCATAAGTCGAGGCATCTGGATCATTTAAACGCCTGAAAATATGGCTGTTTGTGGTATACAGTGTAAAGTGAGGCGTTCTCTGTCCAACAATGAGGCCAATTCGGTGAGCAATAGTCTCCTGTTAATGTATGCTTAATCAGCACCGTCCTACTTACTATGCCCGAAACTTTTCCCTGTAAAATTTTTTTTTCTCAAAATAAGCTTTTTCGGGCACCTTGTCGTAAAACGTCTTCCAACATCCATCTCTATCTTAAACCGGTTGACCAATTGGAACCGTCCGTGTTTCATTTGCAGTCCTTTAGGATGATGAAGGAACCTCACCTTTATGAAACAGGCTTCTCGACCCGAATTTTTTCTGTTTCACAACGTTTTCCCTTAGCCGAAC